AATAATATTTGCAAAGTTCAAAGAAACATACTTGATGTGAATTCTTCTTTTTAGATGTTCCTGAACTCTTTTTCTGCTTTTTCCATTTTTCTGAGAAAAAATCAAAACCGAATGGACCACCTGGTCCAAATGATGACAAACTGATGGTCGCAGCTTTGGCAGCCAAAGGATCAAATTTAGGTGCACGCTCTGCTTCAATTTTCTCAAATTGCAGCTGAGGCTTCCCAGATAGTGGGACAATTCCATCTTTTCCATGGAAAAGTCTAAAGGCCGTCTCAAAGCTGGGGCCATCTTCAAATATTGGTCCTTTGGATCCCCTTATCTGAAAATTAAAGGCAAAGGTATTGTAAGCATAAAATCCATGGAGCTCAAAGCAAATAGCCAGAGCATCACAATCCTCCAAAAGACATTCGCCTCAATTAGCTTCTCCGAGTAAATTAGTAGGAAGCCTTCAAATCATCAAAGCAAGGAATAAACATCTTACGTGAAGAGGGAGGTTCAGCGAAGAGAAAGAGAAATTGGTTGGTTTGCTGACGTTCCTCAAGAATGGACATTTCTGGATGTCCTGCTCATCAAAGGAGCAGTCACGTGACTCCTCATTCAATGACTTGAAGAAAAATTCCATTCTTTCTACCTCCAAACCGGTTTCTGCAACACAGCATTTACCACAGTTCATATTTGCAGAACTCATATAGTTGGAGAAGATCAAGATAATTTAAATGAAACATTATCTAGTAATTCATGTCTAGTATAATGGTTATGCAAGCACGAACGGATGACAGTAGATAGAGCTGTAGAAAGTACCATTCATCAAATGAAGAAAGGAAATGCATATAAAACATGAACTGGAACCTACTCTTCTGATGGCACAAAGCAGGCAATAATTGCAGAGGAACGTGAGATAACAACGATGTTTATTGTTTTGATTGTTCCAAGATTTTGAAACCAGGTTTACTTAGTATTACAAGCAAAAATACACCTATTTGGCAACTCAAGCTGCGTTAGAACTCAAGATGTATTGCATCTTCTGATCAGGTGAAGCTATAGTGGAACAGCTTTAGTGGTTAGCAAAGGGTTAAGAATCCAAAACCAGCTAGGGCACTAACCAGTCACAGCATAATAACGGCAGGAACTAGTCAGCAGAAAGCTGATCAGATAGAAAACTTGGAAAGTGTGTTGCAAGAAATATATAAGCATTGAAATGTTTATGACCCCCAAAAACCATCAACAACCACTTAAAGTGGTAAACAGCAGGAAACTCAAGAGTATATTAATATGCCTCAAACTGTATTTCCCACTTTTTAGATTCTAACATCTTATTATCCAGTATATTTTTGTTCACAAGGCGACGGACAAAATTTTTATCGTTCACTTTCAGTCAAATTTAGTTAATTGAGTTTGGCTTGGCAAATAAACAAGCTAAGCTTAGAGTATGTGGGCTGATTTGGCTCATTTACACCCCCACCAGGGACAGTTTTCTCTTCAACATTCCCAATTGAAGCAATCTTTGTGCACTTAACCACCAAAAGGATCCTAATACACATGTTGACACATAATGCGCACTCAACTCAATTCAGTAGACTAAGACCCCTACAACCACAAAATACATACAAAGACCTGTGTGTAATTTAGTATTCTGCAACCTTTCTAGCAGCACTAACAACATTAACCCACACCTAAGCAGAGCCCAACTGGGATTTTGGGGAAAAGGGAACTAGATGGATTCATGCCCGATCTCTAGTCAAGAACAGCACATTTCCATGCTCTCTGCAATTAATTGGTGGCAGGATAGCCAATCAAACTCCCACCTACAAGTAGGGAAGGTTTACCATCGAACACTCCCCAAACCCCAATTGGGCTAATCCACCTCAAGGAACGCTACCATAAAATCAAGCGAAAGGAACATATGCTTTATCACTCCTTGGGTTGATGAAAAGAACTTTTAATAGTTTAAAAGCACCACCAAGCATACATCTTCGATCACATGTAACAAGAAAATGCCTCCTCATTATTTCCCATATATCTACCCATGTATTTTGTATAATTTTCCCATTTAGCGAGCAGCTATGTTTTCCCCCGGAAAAAAAACTACAAGGAAAAAAAAATTATAATGCTAACCAACTTTCTAGTCCGTCAACAGCAATTAAATGCTTGAAACCTTAACATAGGCTTAACTTCGAACAGTTCAAAACCACATATTATTAGGTCACAAATTCATCGTTTACCTCAACAAGATTTCTCTCTCAGCGGCTAAATAACATTAAATGCAAAACCAAAAGCCCAAAACAAGCCAAAAAAAACACCCAATTAGCTACTAATAATCATGATTTTTCCCAAGAACTAAATAAATCTTATACAAACTTTAATGAGAATGTTCTAGAAACTAAACATGTGAATCCAGATTTTCAGAGGAATAAAAAGCAGAGAAAGTCGTAAACTTTAGAGAATTGAGAAGAGAGGGCAAATGGGTTACCGACGGAGTAGGTGGATTTTCCGGTGAATGACTCGGCGGGGAAAGTTGGAGCAGGTTTGGTTGGTCCAGTAAAGCTGCAAGCGAGAGAAACGTGTGGAGAGCACAGACCAGTCACCAGAGGTCCAGAGCACAATATTAGTTGGTGGTTGTTGGGAACTTGGGATTTGATATTTGGGAAAATTTCAGAAACCTCCCCTGAGGTTTCCACAATTACACTGACCTCCCCTGGCAGAACTTGGGACTAGGGGTGGGCAAAATTATCTGCTAACCCGAAAATCCGTCATCCGATTCGATCCGATCCGAAAATTAGGATATCCGATTTTTATTATTTGATCGGGTCAAAAGAGGGTCGGGTACCCGCTAAGATGCGGGGCGGGTTAGGATCACATAATTAAAAATTCGCGGGTACCCGATCCGCCCCGCATATATATATTTTATTTTATTTTTATTTTTATACACACACTATAAAATAATAAGAACTAAATAAATAATTTTATTGAACAAATTGCATTACAAATATGAGAGACTATAGTTTATTTACAAGATTCATTTGTAGAGGCCATGATCTTATATTTTATAGAAAAAAGTTTAATTAATGTGGAACATATATATTAAAAATTGTGCTACTTATTTCAAACTTTTATTAAATTCGAATTCTTTTAATTTTTTTTCCTTTATCTTATATTTTCTTCACATGCTTGTTTCTTGATGGGAAACCTTTTTTTAGAAAAAAAATATTTCTTAAATCTTAGATGAATGTGTAAAATATAAAATTAAATTTGTATAAATCATTTTTTTAATTAAATGATAAATGGGGTGAGACGGGTACCCGTTGACCAGACCCTATCTCAGTGGGTACCCGATTATAGGGTACCCGCTGATATGCGGGGTGGGTAAGGGTCAAAAAATAATTGACCCGCAAGATACGGGTCGGGTCAACTAAATGGTGAATGGGACGGGTACCCGACCCGCGCCCACCCTACTTGGGACCCAATTGCTAACATCATATAATGTGAAATTGCTATTATACCTAAGACATTTTGTGTTATTATAAAACTAAAATCTGATAAATAAGTCATTAGGGCCCAAATTAAAATTTTCAATATCATTAACCAATTTATCAGTTGGAATCTGGCGAATTAGAAATGCATTTAACCAACTGGCGCCAATTTCATTCAGCAATATGGCGCCATTTTGCTAATTGACATCAGAGACAAGACAACAAATCAGTCTTTTATATATTGTAAAGAAGGCATCAAGAGAAGAAACAAAAATAAGAAGAAACATAGTGAAGATGGAAGCTAAAGAAACCTGCAATTTTCGATCAACTGGTGAGGCAGTGATGATAGCATTCTAATTTCATGGTTTTGAAGCAGAAAGAAGGGAGTATAAAAGACAAATTCTAAGATTTTTCTATTGCAAATCACAAAAATAACAACAAAAAAGGTACGCGAGTTCTATAAATCTTTAGAAATATGATCGAATATGACCTGTTACTTCCAGAACATGTGCAGAAATAAGAGTTTATCATGTAAACTTGAAGGAGAAAGGAAGGAGTATGTCAAACCATGAATTTAGTTAGATGTTAAAGTCAAAAGCATGACAAAAACCATCGTCTGTTACGTTTATCATAGTTGTTCAATGCTTGATAAGCTAAATAGATGATATAGTTTGATAAGTTGTGATCACTGGTACATGTAGTTAGATAAGTTCATTATCTGTTATGTTGACCATAGTTGTTGAATGCTTGATAATCTGCAATAAGTTAGATAAACTGTCTATTCTGCCAAATCTACGTTTTAGATCTTTGAGTTGTGTCTTGTTCTTCATTTATTGAGTAAAAGTGTTTCATTATCATAGAATCATGTTAATGGTTGTTAGTGCTGAATTATTAATGTTAATAATGTAGGATGGTGAACATTGGTGCTTATAACATAGTTGTGCATTACAAGGGAAGAAAACTGAGGATTCCGAATGTTGATCCTAATGGCTACTTGTACATTAACTTGCTATATGATGTTGCTGAAAAAGCATTGAGTGAAATGCCTGGAAATGCGAATATGATTATACATATGAGGCATGAAATTCCTGGAACATATGAAATGCGTGACGTTAATGACGACAAAGCAGTAGTTGAGATGTTTAGAATGCATCAATCTGGAATTGTAATCAATTTGCATGTGTATGAAATGAAAATTATTCCAACTAAACCTGATAGACCTTTAAACCATAACAATGATCAGAAAAATCAAGAGAATTTAGGCATTGAACAAACTTATGGAAGGGTGGTTGTTGACCTTGGAAATTCTAATGATGAATTTGAGGACTCTAATTCTGACGAGTCATGGAAACATGTGCTTGATAGCGATAATGAAGGTGATATAGATGATGACAGAGTCTCAGTGGAGAGTAGTAACTTGAGTGACACTAATTTTTCTGATTTTGAGAAAATGAGAATTGTGAAGTGGTTCCTGATTCCGAATCTGATCAGGAAATTGATCCTATGAGAGAAGTGATAAGATAAAAAATGTGGGTGTACAATCCAAGAGAAGAGATTGAGTTTGAGAAGGGCCAATTATTCACCAATGTGGATTCCTTTAGAGCAGTTTTGAAGGATTCTGTCATCCAAAAGGGATTTCCAGTAGTAAGATTGAAGAATGAGAAAACTAGAGTGACAGCTATTTGTGGTATAGATGGTTGCAAATGGAGAATTCATGCAAGTCCTGTGGTTGATTTTATCACTTTTATGATTAAATCTTACCAACCTGAATACACTTGTGTGATGGATAAAAGTAATGTAGAAGCCACGTCAGATTGGATTGCAAAGAAGTTGGTGCCTTTGGTGAGAGATCATCCTAACATATCTAGCCAGGGCATAGAAGCAGAGATGATAACTAAGTATGGTATTAAACCAAGTTACATACAGCTTTTTAGAGAAAAAAAGAAAGCAGAAGAGGAGATTCAAGGAAACTTCAATGATTCTTATGGCAAATTACCAAAGTATGCAGCACTTCTAAGACAATATAATCCACAAAGCATTTGCAAAATACATTATGATAGGCCAAATCTCCTTGTAGAGCCCAGATTTTAAGAATATTTGTTAGCTTTAGAGCACAAAAAACTGGTTTTCTTGAAGGTTGCAGGCCATTCATTGGCTTTGATGGCTGTCACTTGAAGGGTCCCTTTGGTGGTGTTTTACTCACAGCAGTGGCCTTAGATGGGAATGATAGTATATTTTCAATTGCATTTGCTGTAGCTGAATGTGAAAACAAGGAAACATGGAGCTGGTTCTTTCACTTTTTTGAGGAGTTTTTTGGACCATTCAATAGCCACTTACCTTTAACCTTTATGAGTGATAGGCAAAAGGTACTGCTCAAAACAATCTACTTTTTGCTTGGACTTGTTGAAGGATCTAAAAAAGCTTTTTTTGACTCATCTATTTGCTGTTTTAAGGGCTTAACCTTGCTTATGAGGAGATTTTTCCAAATACTAGTGGTAGATATTGTTGCAGGCACATTTGCAGCAACTTCAAGCAGCAAATTTCCAGGCATGCTACTTAATAGTTTCTTGTGGAAGGCAGCAAAGAGTTATGATCAGATAAGTCACAATGAAGCAATGTCAACCATTAAAGACATCAACATACAGGCTTGAAAATATTTGGACAAAATTCCCAAGAAGGCGTGGTATAGATATGCATTTGCAAAAGAAATTAAATGTGACCATGTCACAAATAATTTCACTGAATCGTTTAATTCATGGGTTGGTGATCTTAGGGGCAAACCCATACTTACCCTTGTTGAAGGTTTGAGAAGGAAGTTCATGAAGAAAATGCATAAGAGATACCAAAATGGATGCACATTAACTAACAGAATCACCCCAAAGTTTGCTGAAAAACTCAAAAAATTGCTCAAGCATCAAGGCATTGTACCCTGAATATGACAAGTGAGGATACATTTGCGGTTGGTGATATGGACAGGTCATTCATAGTCAATTTAAACCAAAGGACTTGTGATTGTGGTGCATTCCAATAAGTTGGACTTCCTTGCAAACATGCTGCACTTGGCATTATCTACAAAAGGGAAAAGTTGGAAGATTACTGCGATCAATGGTTCTCCAAAGACATTTACTTGAAGGCATATGCTTCTATGATTCACCCTATACCTCATGAAAAGAGGTGGCCGCCTATGGATGAAGTTACCCCTAAGGTTGTACTACCCCCTCATTTGAGAAGGGCTCCTGGTAGGCCAAGAGTTAACAGAAGAAGAGAAGCTGATGAAGGACCTTCATCTCAGCCAAAAAGGTCTAGTACCTTAAAGTGTGGAAATTGTGGTCAGTTTGGTCACAACATGAGAACATGTCAAAGAGCTCTTGTGCAAAGAAAGAATCCAGCCAATACTCATGGATCATCATACACACTTTTGTACAAATTGAATGTTCTTTCTTGATTCAACATGCTGTTTATGTTGTTTACTTCATGGTAGATGCCAACTAGAAAAGGGAAACCAGGCAGAGGAATTGCAAATTTAGGACTGCAAGGATCTGTTCTTTGGGTATAAATCATATTTGAATTATGCAATTAGTCTACAATGTTACTTAGTCATATTACTTTAACATGTAAATTTGTTATGACAGGATCATACACATGGGAATGTGCCTATTGTGCATTCAGGTCAAGGTAGCAATTCAAGTCCTTCTACTGGAAATGCTGCTGTAAATGTTCAGGTTAATGTACAAATAGGTGTAATTGCCTCTAAAAGAAAGGTACGGGCTCTTTTGTTTGGTTATCCAATCTAGTGCTGCTACATATGTATTCAATAAGGCACAAGCTCTTTTATTTTGAACAATTGCAGAAAGAAAGGCCTTCAAATGCTACTTTGACAAATGCTGCAACATATTCTTGCAGAAGAGTTGCACCAGAACTTGCTCAAGCTCCTATGCAAGCCCCTGGTGATGCTCAAGCTGCTACAACTGTTAGGATGAATGCAGCTGCAACTCTTAACTCTACCAATATTAGCACCAGTGACAGTTTTAGCTTGCATTTCTAATGGAAGCTATTATGCTTACATTTCTCTTCTTTTGTACTTAGTGGTGCTTATGAGTTATAGTTCATTAATATGCTGCCTATTCATGCTTTTGTATCTGGTGTTGTGTGAAACTATGACTAAACAATGGCTTTACAATCCTCACCCTCTGCCTAAATTGTTCAAGGCAGATGGTGTTTTGGATAGTCTTGGATTGCATTTCTATTTATTTAATGCATGGTTATGAAATCTGAATTGATATTACTCTTGGATTGCAGTTTTGGTTTGCACCTTATTACTGTTAAGACCTCATAAATGACTATTTTAGTTCTTAACTTGTTTTGTTTAATGGATCTGTAATGTTGCAACTTGAGCGGATGACAAGTAACTTAGTTTTTGCATTGCTCATGAACCTGTTCAATTCATTCTTTTTCACCTCAATTTATGCAACAAATCACTCTTTTATACCTTAAATATTGATGCTTAAAGTGAAAGTGGCTTCCTTCTTAGTGCTGGTCCATAATATGTTGAAGATAAAAAAAACCTGTTCAATTCATCCAAAGTCAAGGTACTGCCGTAGTGTCCTAGATGCAAAGATCAGGATCTATGATGTTGGCATGAAAAAGAAGGGAGTTGATAAGTTCTCATTCTGTGTCTACTTTGTTAGTTGAGAAAACAAGAGAGAATGTCTCCAGTGAAGCACTTGAGGCTCCTCTGTTGTTATTTACATGAAATTTTGTTTGTTTTTGGTCTTGTCACATTTTTTTTGGCCTGAATTTCAAGGAATATAGCTCAAGTTCAGCAGCATAGACTATGTCAAATGGAAGCAAGAGAAGCATATTGTTCTAGACGGTGTTCAGGCCAAGGTTTGTTACTGCTACACAAGTTTATTTTAGAGCTGTCTTTGCTTGTATTGTTGTTCTTTGATTGTACTCTTGGCTTTTGGTTGTAAGGCTAGTGCTAACTTGGTTTTGTTCAAATCTTGCTACTTTTTGGTTGCCATGGACCATTGGCTAACCGTTAAACAGGAAGAATATTTTTACAAACAATTTCTTAGTTTACTTCATTAGCATTTTGTCTCTAGTACTGGTAGATGATGTGCGTAGCTTTAGAAAAGATAGCAGTAGCCGGCTACAGCTTTGTGCAAGTAAATGGTCAATCCCTTCCTTTCTCCTTATTTCACTAACATCCCCTCATTTTTTCTAATTTATTTTTTATTTTTATTAGTTTTCATTATTTCACTAATAGAACTTGTAAACACTTACCTCAGGGGCATTTATGGGAATAAATTTCCCTCCCTTTCCTATAAACACTTTTTTATATTTACTTTTGACTCATGGGCTGATTTTGTTACAAAATTCTAAACCTCAGGGGAGGTTAGTGTAATTGTGGAAACCTCAGGGGAGATCAATGAAATTGTTAGAAACATCAGGGGAGGTTTCTAAAATTATCCCTTGATATTTTTATTCGGGTTAATTTCAGCAGAAACCCCTAAATTATTTTGGCCCTTAAACCACTGTGCCCCTAACTTTATCTTTTAAGCACTTTGACCCCTGAATGAACATTCAAATGAAAAAGATGGCATAACTAGCCTTTAGTTTGCAATTGCAGTTTCCTTATACTCAATTTACCTCTTAACATGAAATCACCATTGATATACTTATTTTTATTTTTATTCTTCTAATTTTTCTATTCTCTCTCTTTTAATCTCTTACTCAGTGTACCTCTTACCTCATGTCAAGGATGAATTACTCATTTATATTTTACTTTTTTTTTTATTTTATTCTCTTATTTCTTCTTTCTCTCTCTCCCTCTCTCTCTCTCTCTCTCATATTTTTTGTTTTTTCCTTATTTTTTCCCATCACACTTGTCATTACTAAGCTATATGGTATTTTTAATGATTAGTTAATAACAAACTTCAATATATATACGTGTCAAAAGATTTATTTTTGGAATTAAATTTGCTTTCTAACACAAAAACATAAATATAATAAAATTAGTAGGGGTCAATTGCCTGTAAAATTCCTTAGAGGACATAATACAATTAGTCATAGTTCATGGGGATAATTAAATTGCATATAAATATTTTTCTTATGCTTAAAATGAGGGCAATTTTGGAAAATTGAAACATTATTTGACAGTCAAACATCATTTTGACTGATGAAAGGGGCAAAGTAGCGAGGAGCTTCATTTTTTTTAACAAACGAAAAAATATAACAAAAAAAATGATAAACTAGGAACGCAAGGGGCTAATTAAGTGTTGCAACTAGAGCTGTAAACGAACCGAAACGAACCGAGTATCTCATGTTTGAGCTCTGTTCGTTAAGTGATTCGAACTCCGTTCGTGTTCGTTCGTTAACTTTCGAACTCTAAATCTGTGTTCGTGTTCGGCTCGTTAAGTAAAGTTCGTGTTCATGTTCGTGTTCGTGTTCGACTCGTTTAACATAAACGAGCCGTTCGCGAACACGCTCGAAAAGTTCGAATCCAGATTATTCTAAGCCTTAAATATGCCACACAAATCATTAATCATCCTAAAAAATAATTAAATACTAAATGACTAAATTTCATTATTCAATAACTGCATAACCAACATTAACATAAAAACAACAAATAAAACAAAATAATTTGTCCTTCAAATATAAAAATTCAGCCATAAGACAAGTACCAAATTTCGGCAGCAGCCAATGGGGAAGGAAAACAAAAGTAAGGTTGGAAAGGGAAGGGGAAAGTTTTAGAATTTCTTATGAGTAACCCTAAAATTTGTCAAGTAACAATTATGTTCTTGTTCGCGAACGTTCGTTAAAATTCGCGAACATATTCGTGTTCGCTCGATTATTAAACGAACACAAAAATTCGTTCGTGTTCGTTCGTTTAAGGCTTTCGAACGAGCCTTTAACGAACACGAACGAGCCGAAACGAACCGAACTAACGAACAGCTCGGTTCGTTTAACAGCTCTAGTTGCAACTACTTGAAACATCAAGACATCAAAGATGGACGAGAATTCAACGTCATCGCAGCAGAAATAGTGAAATAGTTGCAACTCATCGAAAAAATGTTGAAGTTGATGCGTTGAATAAGAGAACAACCAAAGCGATGAACAATTTTCCACGCACCTCAACAATTGCGCCAACTTTCAAGACTCTAAGTCTTTGTTTGATAATCTAATTGAATACTTAAATTTAATAAATTCAGATCTTAACATATTCAAATCGTTTAATAACAAAAAATTGAACATTTGAATTAATTAATTGACGCTGAATTTCTTAAACAAAATTTATTTCTAAAATTAAGTGATAAACTATTAACTTATTACTGAATGTGATATGTACTCAAATGTATTAGATTTAATACTTAAGAATCCAATAGCTTAATAAATCCAGACTTTAAATTTCAAATTTCAGTTTTCAGGTCTTAGTTATATCAAACGCACCCTTAATTTAAAGACTAGATATACTACTCTTCATGGTCCTTAATATGAGAAAACATGACTAACGAGATATGTGAATTTTTTGTTCTTATATTCGAGAATTATTGCTGTACATCCACTTGTATTAATTTATTTGGTAAAAGCTTAGGAGCAAACCCATAACTATCATCCCAAAGAAAAAAGGTCACTTGAGACTGTAGTG